GGTAAACTCATTATCTAGAGTCCTTGGTGACCTAGGTTAAACTTAGGCACTTAGGCAGTTTTGGGTCTCCAGAACACTGAGTTGACATGTTAACTGGAGCCCTGACCTTGGGATAACTGTGCTGTCCTTCCCAGGTAAAGGAAAATGTGCTTTCTGAAGGGAATAAATCCTTTCATGTTTTACCTGAAATAATTGTTACCATATTACTGCTATCAGTCCCTTTTAAAGACTTTGACATAAGGTACCCCTATTTTCCCCCTCCTAAGCACCCCTAAGCACCCCGCTGCACATCACGAGCCAGACTCTGTACTGGGGGAGGGAGCTCACATGCAGTGAAACCGTCGCCTTAAACACGCCCTTTGGTGAGTCTGAAAAGGGGGTGCGCCACGATAGCCCCAGTGAGACTCAGAACGTCACCCAGAGGGTCCCCCAGAGCCCTCCCTCCGCCTAGAAACTGTCCGTTCCCAAGACACAAAGATGCCCTGTCATTTCCTCTAAAAAAATAATAATTAAAAAATTTTTAAAAATATGTTTTTATTGATTTTGAGAGAGAGAGGAAGGGAGAGGGATAGAGAAACACCGACGAGAGAGAAACATCCTTGACCATCTGCCTCCCCACCCCCCACTGGGGATGTGCCCGCAACCAAGGCACACACCCCTGACCGGAATCGAACCTGGGACCCTCCAGTCCGCAGGCCAACGCTCTATCCACCAAGCCAAACCAGTCAGGGCTCTAGTTTTCTTAATGCAAAATTTGTTTAGTTCAAAATTAGGTTTGAAAGTATTTCATTGTCTCCATTTAGCTCAAGAGATGCCCCTCAATATTTAAAGAAAAAAATAATGATAAGTTGTTTTAAATGATAATTTAATATTAAATAATTGTAATATTTAGGATATCAATATATAGATTATATAGCACTGGGTCGAACCGGTGACCTTGTGACACCTGGGTTGACACTCACCCACTGAGCCACACCAGCTGGGCCAAACTGAGAGTTCTCACTTTACACATAGGTCCCTAACTCGTCTCAGATAATGAGATGGGAGGACAAATGCGGGTGATACGAGGTGGGGTGAAATGCCTCTTCCCAGCGGACGTCCACTTGCTTTAGAGCCACCACGTGGGAGGCTTCCCCTGTCTCTGCTGGGTTGCTCGGTGACTTGGCTGAAATCAAGTGACCAGAGGTAGTGGGTCTGCTCCTGGCCTCTGTTCCGTCCGTCAGTCTCCGGGGCCGTTTGCGCCGGCTCCGTGCTGTCTGTGACGGCGACTGTGCGGCCAGCTTCGCACTCAGACGTGTGGATCCCGCCCGCACTCCCCCTGTGCCAGCCCCTCGGGTCACCCAGGTCTGCGCCGCCCGGGCAGCGAGCCCCAGACACACCGGCTGTTTACATTCATTAAAATGAAGCTGCGCGAAAGATTCAGCTCCCCAGGCCCGGCCGCTGCGCTGAAAAGGCCCCGTGGCACGTTTCCACGGCCACAGATCCACTTTAGGGCCTCGGCAGTTCCATCTCGGATTCAGAATCATTTTATCAATTTCTACTTAAAAAGCCGGCTGGGGCTGCGACTGGCAAGAAATTCCATCTACAGATTCGAGGGCGGAGAACTGACAGGCTAATGAGATCGAGGCTGCTGATCCATGAACGTGCTTCCTCTCCCTGCCCAGGACTTCTTTAATGTTCTCAGCGGGTTCATGGCTTTCAGTTAGTGGCCTCACACATCTCGTGTGAATATATCCCTAAGGATTTTGTGATACTTACTTCCCAGATTCGTTAGGATTTTCCACACACACGACCACACGGTCTGCGGGGAGAGTTTGTGTGCGTCTTTCCGTTCAGGTGCCTTTTGTTTCTCTTTCCTGCCTTTCTGTGCAGGACTTTGGTCCTTTGTGGAGCAGAGGGCACGAGTGGGCAGCGTCCTCACTGTTGATCTTGGGGGAACGTGGCTGGCGTCTCATGCTGGGTGTGATGCCCGTAGGAGGCTCATGCAAGCCCTTTGGACATGTTTGATGTTCCCCTCTCCCCTGAATGTGTGAGAGTTTTAAAACTAAATCATACAGCCCTGACCGGTCTGGCTCCGTGGATAGAGCGTCGGCCTGCGGACTGAAGGGTCCCAGGTTCCATTCCGATCAAGGGCATGTACCTTGCGTGCGGGCACATCCCCAGTAGGGGGTGTGCGGGAGGCGGCTGATCGATGTTTCTAACTCTCTACCCCTCTCCCTTCCACTCTGTAAAAAAGAAAAAAAAAATCAATAAAATATATTTAAAAAAACAACAAAAAACCCTAAATCATATGGATGCTGAATTTTGTTACTGCTCTTTCCATATCCATGTAAACAATCATTTTTTCCCTCATTTATTCTGTTAACCTGGGGAATTAAACAGATTGGCTTTCGAACGGCCAGCCCTGCCCTCGGGGGTAGCACCTGGCCCCCGAGTTCCTCCTCAGCTTTGTGGCCTTGGATTTGCTGCCGTTTTGCGGGGCCCCTGGGCCTGTCAGTGGGGACATTGGGCCGGTCAGTCAGTGGGGACATTCGGCCTGTCAGTCAGTGGGGCCATTGGGCCTGTCGGTCAGCGGGGACATTGGGCCTGTCAGTCCGTGGGGACATTGGGCCTGTCAGTCCGTGGGGACATTGGGCCTGTCAGTCCGTGGGGACATTGGGCCTGTCAGTCCGTGGGGACATTGGGCCTGTCAGTCCGTGGGGACATTGGGCCTGTCAGTCCGTGGGGACATTGGGCCTGTCAGTCCGTGGGGACATTGGGCCTGTCAGTCCGTGGGGACATTGGGCCTGTCAGTCCGTGGGGACATTGGGCCTGTCAGTCCGTGGGGACATTGGGCCTGTCAGTCCGTGGGGACATTGGGCCTGTCAGTCCGTGGGGACATTGGGCCTGTCAGTCCGTGGGGACATTGGGCCTGTCAGTCCGTGGGGACATTGGGCCTGTCAGTCCGTGGGGACATTGGGCCTGTCAGTCCGTGGGGACATTGGGCCTGTCAGTCCGTGGGGACATTGGGCCTGTCAGTCCGTGGGGACATTGGGCCTGTCAGTCCGTGGGGACATTGGGCCTGTCAGTCCGTGGGGACATTGGGCCTGTCAGTCCGTGGGGACATTGGGCCTGTCAGTCCGTGGGGACATTGGGCCTGTCAGTCCGTGGGGACATTGGGCCTGTCAGTCAGTGGGGACATTGGTCAGTAATTCTCTTTCCTGCAACATCTTCGTTCCCGGGTTGCGCTCACCTCATAAAACAGGGTGGGGGCTGCTCCCCTCTCCATGTTCGGAGTGAGTCTGTAAGCCCGGCTCATTCCTTCCCTAATCGTCTGATAGAAAGTCGTTTGATAGGAAACTGTTTGACGAGACCATTGGGCCTGGAGCTTTCGTCCGGGCAACAAGGTGTGCGACGGCGAATTCAGTTTCCGTGGCGGATCAACAGGACCAATCGGCCACGTCTCTCCTGTGGTGAGCTTCGGTGGTGTGTGACTTCGAAGGAGTTTGTCTGTTTTATCAAAGTTAGAAAATTTGTTTGCCAAAGGCCTTCATAACATTTCTTTACTGTCTGTATGAAGCCTGAGGATCGCGAGTGTTTCTCCTCGTTCATTGTATAACATGGTTGTTTGTGTCTTCTCTAGTTTTTCTGATCATTCTAGTGAGAGGCTTACTGATTTATTGATCTTTGCAAAACAACATTATTTTTAAAAAATATGTTTTTATTGATTTCAGAGAGAGGAAGAAAGAGGGAGAGATAGAAACATCAATGATGAGAGAGAATCATGGATCGGCTGCCTCCTGCACGCCCCCTACTGGGGATCAAGCCTGCAATCTGGGAATTGAACAGTGACCTCCTGGTTTATGGGTCAACACTCAACCACTGAGCCACACCGCCCAGGCCCATGGTTTTATTTCATTGATTTAGTCCATGTTTGTGTTTTCCATATCATTGATGACTGCACTTGTTTCGATGATCTCTTTCCTCTGTTTACTTTGGGGTTAATTTGCTCTTTTTCAAGTTCAAGATAAAGCTGTGTTTTAAAGAGGAGGGTCTGGGACAGGGTGTGGCTTTGCATGTTTGTGTATCAAAGAAAGGGCAGCATTTCTCTGGCCTCTGGCCTGTCCCCACTATTCCTGGCCACACCAAGGAGGGCCCATGGGAACGAGCTCTCGGGTGAGCGGCTCCTCTGTGTCCAGGGCTCCCAGTAACCCTCCAGGGTCCCGCTGCCCCATAGTCAGCCTTGAAGAATTTAGTAACATGTTGACGTTTTCTCCCCTTTCCGGACACCCCTCTTTCTCTGCGCTCTGCTAGAGGGGAACCGTCTCCTGGGTCCTGTCCCTCCTTACAGGGGCTCACCAGGGGCGGGACGCCACCTCCCTTCATTTCCCGTGACCTCAGCTGTCCCATGAGC